AGTAGATCCTTCCACTGGGTTCGCAATTTTGATCTGCGCCCCAGACATCTGACGGATCTCATTGATTTTGGCGCCTTGACGCCCGATTATGCAGCCAATCAACTTAAAGGAGGAAAAACAAGGCACACCAAATTAATTAGAGTTGCATCACTAGATACAAGAATTCCGTCCCATCCCTCTAGCTTCTGCAACTTCTTGACCCATTCTTCTGTCTGACTGATGTAGGTCAGAGCCATCTATGACCCAGGTCCAAGCATTAGCTCTCCATTATTTCTGTCCTCAGAATATTTATTAACTCCAAAGACAAAATAAACTAGAGCCAAGCTGGTAAGAAACCTAGTTAGATGGCTAGGAATAGAGATACAGGTAAAGGTACATTGTCTCTGGAAGCAGAGATGCTTAAACTCATCTTGCCATGATTACTACCATACTACACTGACAAGAATTTTGACCAATTTCTAATGCTTTTGCCTTGGGAAAATGTTAAATATAGGTCTACATTTGCACTGGCTAATATTATAAAAAGCAACATGTGGTTATTGAATACCTGTACTGTGGCAAGTGAGACTGAGGAGCTAAATTTATTATTTTTATTATTCTCAATGCCAACAGCCACATGTGGTCAGTGACCATCATCTTAGAAAAGATTTAACAATCAAGAACCACTGCACCCTATGCTTTAAAGGCTAAGCTTTCTGATTCTACAAGACTTCCATTTATTTAAAACCAATTCTCTTATTTTCATTACATGCAAACCCAACTAACCATACTTACATCGTTTGGAATGGTGAGTTCATGAGAAGTAGTCTGAGCAGATGCATCCAAACCTGCTAAAAGACAGAAGAAAGCAAGAAAGTTCAATGCACAGCATTTAAAACCCCACTGCTGTACATTAAACTAACAGAAAGAAATAAACTGGAAACCCAGCATTGGCTGTTGGGATTCATCACTAACTTGGAAGCCTCCAAAGAGGAAAGACGGGGAGAAGGGTGCAGAAACAATGCTGGAAAGGTTCTTCTGTACACTCAGAAGAGCTGATTTCATGCCATTTCCTGCAAAGCCCAGCCTCTTAGGGATATAGGGGGATGAAAGCAAGGGGCAAGGGAGTGTGGTATCCTCAAACAGGACCAAAATCTAAACAAGTCCCTCTGTACTTCTACCCCTTTTCTGCTTAGGATTTCCTGCTGTTGTATTCCAATTTTATCTCACCTGATGCTCACTAGGCACCAGTGCCAATAACATGCCTGTTAATGGGTACCATGGACTTTTGGCACACATGCAGTTGCTTTAAATATACCGGTATCGGATTAACACCCTCCACCCCTATCCTCCTAAACTTGAAGGTCAGATAGAATGAAATGGCAATCAGGTGAGGGGAGTTCATTTCTCCAGATTTACTCCCTGTCTTCTGCTTAATAATTTGTTCTGTCTTTTGTTTTCCAAAGAAAAAGAAAAAAAACCTCATGAGCAAATACCCATATCCATCTATAACAACACCTGGATTTAACCAGTCCAGCTTGCTATCCCTCAAGCCTAATCCTGCTCTCAGCTGTGGCTGCTGGTCTCAACATTTTTAGAAGGGGGTTGGCCAGATCCATCAAGGGACCCATGGGGGCACCAGGCCCACCCCTTTGCTCTCTCAGCTCCTCTCTGCCATGTGAATGTTGCTGGTATGGTTCATGGGCAGTGAAACAAGACTCCCACCAGTTTATTAATATAACAGTAGAATACTACAGATTTTTTTTTTTAATCATTACCCCAATAGCCTTTCACCTCTGGAGAGCTGGATTCAATGCCTGTTAAGATACAAGTGAAAATGAGTTTGGTGGTCTCATCCTAACCCTATCGGACAAGTTATTCCTTATACAGAAAAGCCCAAAAAAACAAAACAAAACAAAAACAAAAACAAAAAAACACTACACAATTTGGCACAAATGGATGGTCTCTACCCAAGCCTGTGAATAGCTGGTGGAGAGAAAGGGGATGCTGATCAGATTAAGGGGGCAGCAGTCAGGATGGTTCAAAGAAATACCAGCCTACCCTTTGCCTGACAAGCATCCCCAGACCTCACCCCCAAACCTTCCAGGGACTTTTTTCTACTTTTAGAATAACTGACCCCAAATGAAAACCACGTTAACAAACACATTACCTCCTTGGGCTTAGCCATAGTAGACAGGCAAGTTTAAACCAGCAGGATGCTGGGTAACCAAGTTTGTTTTAAACAGATGTCAAGCTGAGAGACCTTGGGATTGGCCTCTGTCTTGCACTACACCTTACAAAAATAAACACTGAGGCATCCATACCACTGAATCCGGTGTTGCCATGCGTCATGGGAAAATGAGACTGTTGCATTGCCAACTGGTGCAGCTTGGTCAACTGCAAGGAGGAAACGGGAAAGGTTGGCATTAGAAGAGTTAAAAGTCAGGGCTCAAACACATTCAAATTTGAAAATGTAGAGCTCCTGATCCCCAAAATTGACTCTACTACTCAACCTACAACGGAAGGTAGTGATGGGGCTTACATCACAATCTTAGGGATGGGCAGATTATGAACAGTAAGAGTTAGAAACGGAGTGTCAGTATAAGAGAATAAATGCATTTTGGGTGTGTGAAACAATAAGCAATAGCACTTGCCCAACAACCATCCCTTTGTGGGCTATTTAATGAAGGTGTTTGCAGCCATTGCAACAGTTGCCCCAGGGACAAGCACAGACAGGATAGGTAAACAAACTGTGCAGTGGTGCTAGGGAAAACACACCATGCAGGATTTCATCAGTATTGGGAAGAGGGAAGGAGATGGGGGGGGGGGACAGGGAAACCGCAAGGAGGAGAGAGGTTAAGAAGAAACCAAATTGGGTTTAGTATCACCATCACCACTGACTTCTAAGCTATTTTTCTCCATCTATATAAAATGTCCTGGCTGTTGTAAAATAATCCTCCTTCAGGTCTAATTTCCCCTCTCCTGGTTCCTGCCACTAACCAAGAACCAAACTCAACTTCCTAAATCTAATGTTCAGCACCTGAAAAGGTTAGTAAGGATAAAGGAAAGTGAAGAAATGCCCTTAAACAAAGTCTAAACACCGGCATTTTAAAATAGGAGCTTTTATTGGCAAGAAAGGTTTCTTGAGTTGAAGTCTAAATTTTCAGCTTCCTATCCCTCCCTATGCAAGTAAGCCCCTTTCCTTCCCACCAAATACTTTAAAAATGGTCACCCCAGATAGAGGAGTACCCAAAGGCAAACCCAATCCCCCCACACCCCCCATGAAAAGGAGAACTCCATGCAGGGAAGTACAGCCCACTTTCAATTTAAACTGTGCCCTGAGATAACATGACAATATACCATGGAACATTTCTCTTCCAGACAGAGTAATCTGAAACATGGGGAAAAGGAGAAGCTAATAATCTGAATCATAATTTAAATGTCAAAAGGCAAACAAGGCACTACTATTCTCTGATTAAAGATTAATTTTTTAAGGCATGAAATGTGGGGTTCACCTTCTGAGGAAAATAATATTCCAAATGTTTAAGACCCAACTCACTTCTGGCTACTTTGGAGAAAGGAGTAAGACAATTTTGGACGGGAAAGGGAACTTTTCAAAACAAGAAGTGAAAACAAAACTTACATCTGGCTGTGGAATGGCATACTGTCCTTGAATGGTATAGGCCTACAAAAGGAGGAAAACAGTTCCTATTAAAAACCAATCACGGACAGCCACCCAGTGGGGAGGGGGGGGGAATGACAGATTTCAACTAGCCAGGAAGCCAGAGTTGAACTAGAGAAGGGGGAGGCCAGGGATTGAGGCAGTAGATGGAATCTCACAAATACAGTCAGACCCAAATTGGCCTTCTTTGAACCCTAAATATGACTTTATTATGGGGATCCTATAAAGGTAGCCAAATTCCCTACAATCAAAGGCAAAATATACATATCTTAATGAAAATGTGGGAAGTGAGATTAAGCAATGCCTCGACTGACCAAGCCCCACTCTTCCTCCTTGTATATAAAATAGCCTAGGAGAAATAATGGTCTCTTCCCTCACCACCCCAACCCTTCTACCAATCATGGTGATGTGAAAGATCTGCATCTGCACAAACCTACATGGCATGTTTTGAAACACTTCTCTTTCCCTATCTTATTTTTCTCTGTATCTGCCTATAGACCTTAAGTACACTGGAAGCTAGCTGGATCCCTAACACTAGGGAGCTGACCACAGGAACACACACACAAAAAAAACCACTGTGTTCTACAGTTCTACCTTCTCCCTCCTCCCCTCCATAAAAGGCACTTGCAGCTCCCACTATGCCCTCCCCCCCCACACCATAACCTCCCGAAAAGGGAGTTGGGTCTTTAGGGCAATGGGGTGGGGAACAAGGAGGAAAGGAAAAGGGAACACGAAGGGAGGGGGAGGAAGGAGTGGCTGGTTAACAGGATGTGAAGCTCCTCACATCACAGTGGCCAGTACCCCCAAAAGTGCACCCAGGTAGGGGTGGGAGGAAGGTGAAAATGGGGTGGGAGGAGTGGGACAGGGGGAAGAGGGGGTTGAACAAAAAAAATTAAAAAAAAAAAAAAAAAAAAGTTGGTGTTACCATCTGGTGGGCTACGCGGCCTGTGTGAAATGAGGTGGGGGGGGTCAGTCCAGGTCCCCGTGGACAGGTGGTGTCCACAGCACAAAAATCACCAGCGCCACTGGCCCCCCGCGTGTTGGCAGTCTCGGCTGAGGCGGAAGGATTGAGTGAGCCTTGGAGACTGAACATCCCCTCTCACCTCTAGAGGTGGTCCCTCCAGGTCAGGGTTGAGGCACATGGACGGGGTGGTGTGGGGAAAGCTCGCACTGTCGCTGCCTGTGCTGTACCTGTCC